ATATTATATTATTTATTCTTATTAATAGTTATAAATAATTATAATAATCTAATCTTAGATATTAAGAACTTCTACTAATTTAATTTATTATCTCTTTTTAATTTTAAAATAGTTTTTATATTAATATTCTCTATAAATATATAATTAAAAATATTTTAATTAAAATTTAGAACTTTTAAAAGATATTTTATTAAAAGATTTTTTAGTTTTTTAATTTATTAGAATAATTTAAGATTTTTAAAAAATATAATTTTTTTAGATTTATTATATAACTAATTAAATAAAATAATTAGAATTATTTAAATTTAATTAGTATATTTAGAGCTATTAGTATTAATTTTTAGTATTTTAATATCTAATTAAATAATTTTATTTTTTTTAAAAAAAGAAATTAAAATATCTTTTCTTAATATAATTTTAAAGATTATAAATATATTAGTATAGATACTCTAGTTAATAGATTTATAGTACTTACTAGATTAATTACTTTAAACTTAATATTATTTAGATTAGTTAATATAGTTAGATTAGTATAAAATAAATAAAGAAAGCTAGATAAAAGAGATAGTATTAATAATTATTTAATAAGCTATTATTTTAATAATAAGTAAGTTATTTATATAATAATTAGAATTTTCTAATTATATAACTCCTTAGATATATAAGAAAAGATTATATTTTTAAGCTTTTTATATTTACTATATTAAGCTAGTCAGGCTCTAGTAGCTTTATTATTATTAAAGTTTATTATTTATATTCTCCTATATATAGCTAGGGAAAAAAAAAGGCAGGAGCAGAACTATTAACAGTTATAGTTGAAATATAAAGTTATCAAAGTTAACCTCATATTGTTGAATATACATCCCTAGACCGCACCTCGCCATTCTGCATCCGACGGGAATATTTAGAACAACCACTGCCTACCCATGATGCGAACTCCTTCAATTTGTTTCCATGCGTCCTCCGGTATCCGAGCAATCCCTCTCTTCCCAACCATTTGAAAGAATCGTTGCAAATTGGGCAGTTTGCCATCCGCAAAGAAGTCGACTCCATAGACTCCACTTGCAAACTCCAAAAGGGCAAAGAGCACACAGTCAGCGATGTTCATCTCTGGAAAGACTTCGCTCTGCAACCTCTCGTCGGTTTCATAGTACTTCTCGATGGTACTCAGCGTCTTTCTGCAGTATTCCATTGTCAGACGTCCGGCATCGGCATTCGTCTCTTCTATCGGCACGAACAACTTGCTACCCTTGTGGCAAGCGAAGCCAAACTGACTGCTAGCTTCGTCGGCAAGTCCCATTATCTCTCTAATCCTGGCCCGAGCCTCCGCCGTTGCGCCTCTCATACTGTTGCAGTGGGTTCCCTCGAAGAGATCTTTCTGCCATTGGTCGTTTGGATGCTCACAGATGTCCTCGAAATACTCCAGAATTGCGAGGGACTGTTTGATGAAGGTACCGTCAGGCAAGCGTAATATGGGCACAGAGCCGGGTGGTTTGCCAGGGGCCGTCATTTGGCCTGTCTGGGAAATTTCAACAGGTATAATGTTGATTTGAGATGAGTTGATTAATCCCTTCTCGTGAAGATATATCAGTACCCGCCGAGGGTAGTATGTAGCAGGCATAACATAAAGGTTCATAGTTGTTGACATGATGATGAATGATATCGGTGCTTTGAATCTATGGTGGAATGTGATGAAGAATTCTTGAAGGAATGACGCCGAGAGATGTATGTATTTATACATGCAAATGTTCCTCGTCGGAAACATCTTCGGCAACATCTGCGGGAACTTTCTCGATAGTGGGTCAAGCGAAACCCTGGCGAAAGAAATATATTTACTGAGCAGCCCTTCTTAGAAAGGATGGGTAATTTTCTTTTGAAATATTGTATAATCTGAATAAAAAAAAGGTGACCAAAATCATTCGCAGACCTAACTCATTTACGGCCCCCAAAATTTCGCAATCATTTCTTCCGGCAATGCTTGCTTCTCCTCGACTGCCTTGAACACCTTGAGAGTTTGAGAACCAAGCGACCTTTCGAATATGGCAACACAGTTACCTCCGCCAAGATCTCGAGCAATACTTCGTAGCTGCTTGAGCGTCATCACCAACTTTTGCAGTTGCGTCTGGTGGTCCTCCTCCCATTCAATGAACGAGGCACCAACATTAGCGACCACCACCTTGTGGAATGTGCCGTTGGAGTGGACGCCACGGATCAGCCAGGGGGTTCTCCCAAACCAAAGCTGCTCCATGCATTTGTTCGAAGGTTTGAGTCGTACCCCGGTTTTGATTTCGGCTGCTGCCGTCTGATGCCTTAACCCAGCCTGCCTCATTGAATCAACGACATGGCTCGTTTCCGGGTTTCCTGATTGTGGGCAGTTTGTGGACCGGTTTTCCAATTCCGAAGACAAAGACTGCGAACCAAGATCTATGTCACATTTGTTGACCCCGAAGCTCCTGGCTCTTTAGTCTCATTATAAGAAGCGTCGACCTCAAAGCGGACAACACAACTCAAGTCGCCCAAAGGGTAACTTAAAACACAGTGGTGAGAAGAACTAGCATCTAATCCCTCAGGGTAAGTTGTGCAAGCCTTCTCAAACGCTCGACCAAATCCACGGTCGTATGAACCTCGAATGATGATCGATGCATCACGCTCGCACCTTTCAATGAACAGAGTATTATTAACCACCAGAAGGTTGACTCGGAAGTTTTGTAAATATCTCTGGCTAGAAAATAGGATCAAATTCCTGAGGCTATTTCGATTGCAAATAATGTCAACGTCGTTGAATCGGAGGCGCGGATTCATCACCTCCACAGCTCTGAACAGCGGTTCAAAGGAATGGCGAGGCACGCGAAGTTGATCGGTAGAACGGGCATGGTCCCTTCTAGCCCCCGTAAGATTAAGAGGCAGGTCAATCTTCTTCCATTCCGCCACGCATCCTGTCAATCTACGTTAGTGTCCAAAATCAAGAGACTTCGTGTTATAGGTAACACTGACCAGGACTTATGATCTCTATACCTCCAATCTGCCAATTGTAACTGCATATCAAATCACATCCTGATGAGCTTGACACTTTGGCCGTATCGGGCGGTAGATTCAACCCCGAGGCCTGAATTGTGCCCAACACTTCATCTGCTTGGACTCCCTCCCACATCCACGCATCTTGAGATACCACAGCAGGCCTTTTCTTCTGCCTTGGACTCGGAGAACTTGAATCACATGATTTTCCAAGCCTTTTTATATCGGCCTGATGCTGGGTGAGGTGCTGGTCAGCGCGAAACTTGCGGCCACAAGAACACGCTGGCATGATGTATGCCGGGCAAACGCGAAAAATGAGATGCGTAAGTGAACAGTTGATTAAAAAACCTGAGCGGGAATTTGAAAAAGCCAACTGTGTATGAGGCAGCCTGAGGATTCGGGTTTACTGGAACATAGTGGATTGGGGTCAACAATTATAGATAGTGACTGAATTGGGGGGTCCAGAAATGGCTCTCAACGTGGCACAAGCTCTCTTCTAAGAAATACGTGGCTGATATGAGAATGGTGGTAACTGCAAACTTCTTGGAAGGCCCCCTGCATGCACATCAACGAACCAAAATCGACATATTATATAGAATACGACGGTGGGGGGCGGAGAGTCGGTAATACGACTCGTCTCTTCTGGCTGCTCCATCTAAGCAATGATAGAGAAGTGTTGGGGGAGTGGGGCAGATGTGACAAGAAGAATAATATAATTAGGTTATGATTCATAAGCCTTATGGGACACGTATATGGCAGACAGGCTCCGAGGCGACCAAAGGCCATCAGACACGTGTTGACTGGCCAGATAGGATTTGACACGCGACCTGGCTGATGTATGTTCTCTAGCGTGTAACATGAGCATTGGCTCTATTTGATATATATAACGGATGAGCACTTAGAAAGGTTCGATAGAATACCTGAAATTGGGGCATGTTAATCGTAAATCAGGTGCATGTTCCATATATATCAGCTCCTCAATGGTTGCCTAATTTCCGCCCTCAAAATTCGTGTGCCTGAGTTGATTTCGATTGGATGTATCATAAATGATGGGAAGTATCCAAGATGAGCACATACTAATCCATGCCAGGCATGTTAATATGCCGTAAAGTATTAACTTAGAGCTCATCAGAAGATTGACCTATAATGGTCGTAGTTGGTTTTACGTCATGACCAATATAGTCGAATAACCTCTTGACAAAATCAGCGAGCATGATATCACTCCCCTTTGCGGCAATGAAACCCGCTGCTGCGGGGAGCTGTTCGACACTCCCAGTGAACTTGGAAACATACGGCATAGTTCCGACTTGGACCAGTAAGTCGCCAGGCAACAAGTATCTAAATTGGCTTTCGGACTCACCGGGGAAGATAAGCTCTGGGCTTTGTGCATATGGTCCCACGTTGTAAAAGAAGAAACCTTCTCCTGTAAACCGCTGTGGACCGCTTTTATACGTGTCTCGGTAGGCTGGCTCTCCCGTGGTCCAAGGTAGAATCATAATGGAGCTTGAGTAACCATCCTCTGAAGGCGGCATCACTTTCTCGTAGAACCATTTTCGATATGTTTCGAGACGCCTGTCGGCTAGTTCTTGTTGTTCTGCTGTGATACTTGGAGTGTAGCCCCTGTATATTTATCAACAATCAGCTAGTAAAAATAGTGTGATTCAAGTTGCAACTGGAAGTCATACGCTTTAAATCGTACTTGAGGATTAAGAACTGGAGGCTTGCCCATCTTGTCTGTGTAGTCCTGAATAAATGGCTTCAATAGCCCCAGCCACTGATCACGGTTGGCAGACCACTCGAAAGCGTGCTTGAGATATTGAACTATACTTTCATCAGTATAGGCCGGACGACTCTCGTTCCACAAATCCGCAAGACTAATTCTGGTGCGTTTCACTCCCAAGAAGTCTTCCACCTTAGTAATGAAGGCTTCAAACAGCTTCTGACTCGGCTCATCTTTGACCGGCCAGTAATCCGTTGGGTAGATGAGTTTGGTTGGATTCTAATGAAGAGAAAGTAAGTAAAAGACTAGATTGTATGAACTGGGGACTATTCAGTACCATGAAAGTTTTATTGTATGTTTCATTCGACCCGTACAAAGCCTGTGCGAGAGTCACATACTCCGCTGCTGTGCGAGAAAACCCACCAATTGTATCCCACTTTCTGCATTGAAAAGTGTCAATTGGAATTTGTTCATCGAACAAAAATATCATTCGTGAAGGTAACATACGGGCTGTAGGGCACGAGACCTTTTGAACTTGTCGACCCCGTCGTAGGTCTCATGGAGAAAATTCCTTGCGCGGCAGCGGGTGACCTGATACTCCCAAGAGCTTAAAGGAAGGGAGAAGGTGCGGAATTAGCAGCGTTCTCAATCGAGGCCTAATCCAGGGGAGAACTTACTATCCGTTCCTAGAGCAAAATCTAGCCAGGGATATGTTGCAACGGCTGAGGCACTACCTGAGCTGCTACCACTGGGTGTTAGATAACCATCCCCGCGAGGGTTAAATGGGCCATGATAATCAACGTAGTCACAGGTTGGCCACTCCGAGTCAGCAAACTGAGTACTCTTCAATTTTCCAACAATTACAAACCCTAAGTCCAGAAGGTGCTGGACAGTTTCGGCGGTTTCTTCCTTTACAGGATAGAGCGCGGTGAATGCTCGAGAAGAAGCACCTGTTTTAAGTCCCTTCAGGTCAATGATGTCTTTGACAGCGATCCTAATTCCAGAAAACGGCTTCTCGTCGGTCTTCGAGTAATATAACCGGGAAGGAACAGCGACTGTGAGGGCGCCCGGAAACTCTTCACCATACGCAGCCGCATCGAGAGACCGGAAGCTTGCACCTACATTTAGTCGATTTTGCCCACTTTGAAGATTTTCTTCACTTACCCATCATTCCCATCAGGTACTGTTGAAACGATAAACGCACCGGCATGGTCGGGGTACAAACGATACGCTAGGTGGAGATGACCATGGTGGAGAAAGTAGGGACCTTGAGGTAATGGGGCTGAGTCGGAAGGGAGGATGACGGAGTGAACAACTTTGACGCCTCGTAGGCGTAAGCTCTCATGGCTTTTGGCGAGCGCGGCATGGTCATTGCCAATTATTTGGATGATGGCATATTGGGAGAACGCAGTAGACCATACGTCATCTTGAGTCTTAAAGTCATTGAATATAGCCTGGATAGCCCCCGCGGTTTCTATGGCCTGGCCGTTGATTGTGAGGACGGTACAGGCCTGGACAGCGTGGACGTGCTCAATCCGGGGCCAGCCAGCCTTCTGCTCCTATCAGGCTATTAGCCATAAGTTTAGCACACTAGCCAGGTGGCCATCTACTTGCCTCAAGGAGTGGATGAAGGTAGTATGCTACCTGGCCCAGACGGACAACAGTAGACACAAAAGGTTTGGCCATACCAAGGATAGCCATTATAAGGATCGAGAAGAACGGTGCTAATAAAGACATGACGGCGGAGGAACAAGCCGCGTGCTATGTAATATATAAATGCTTGGAGGAATGGCGATGTCGATGCTCAAGTTGAAATCTTTGCAAACCAAAGATGATTCAAGGGCAGTGAAGCAGCGAATCTACATTGAAGACAAAGGAAACGGACAGACCAAGCGGGGCAGGTCGGTCGGGGAATCAGGGAGACCCCCAAAAGCGAAACTAGTGAGCAGGTGCAGACATAGTAGAACAAAGGTTTCTAGTAAGACGGTATGCTATCAAAGTCTAAGTATGTAGCAGTCCCACAACAGAGGCCGTGTAATATCCCTCATTCAAGTAGCATGTGGCAGTTCCTTGAAACTATATCGATTTTGGAGGATAGTGACTTTTCCCAGAGGAATGTAAAGAAGCTACTCTTAGTTATCTTAATAGAAGGATCCGAAATATCCTAGCATTATTCAAGAACGTGAAGGTTACATGTAGGAGAATTAAAAATCGATCACTAGCTCCCTCAGCCTCACTCTCTAATAAAACGAAATCAGAACAGTTATTATCTTACACTTAATCACATTATTTATAGGTAATTATAGTATAGAAGCAGCCACAATTGCAACGTTTATGTCTCATTCCGCACTCATCCCTTTGTTCCCCTCCGTCTCAACCATCTCATGGTGCCTGGGGCAGATTCATCAACCAAGTCGCTCTAAGCGAATATCAAGAGGAAAGTAACAGGCTGATTGGCCTTGGGCGTAATCATACCAACCTTGACGTTTTCATCATGGAATTTCCCGCGTGATCTTTTTCGCTCTTTGAACTTGAGCCTCAATTAAGACCCTGGCCAAGAAACCCAGAATAGAACCAAAACAAGGGGGACCGTCTGTTAGCCCGGCCCCTGTTCCCATTGTCCTTAGTTCAATAAGGGCGACGTCAATGTTGGATCCGAAATCAGCTAAACCAACTCATCTTGCCATTCCATTAGCACCCAGTTAGGAATGGACTCCTCCTTGTTGGCAGCATCATGTCAGTCAAGTATCCACAGCTGACGCTTCTAAGACCGTTTTGGCCCGAACATGCGCAGACAGGGGGGTCAAAATCTGACGGCAGACGCAACGAAAGACCTAAAGGAGTGCAAAACAGACCATCAAACGAAACGCCAGGCCCACTATTCAATGTTGTCCGGCTGGCATACCAAGTCAAAGTAATAAGATCAAACCTACCCAACCAGTTCTCAATAAAACATCGAATCCCCAAACATACTTTGAGTGTAACCGCAGTTATTTCTTTGTCTTTTTACTTTCACTCAAGATATGTCGAGCCATAACACATTGGCAGTTGCGGCAGCGACCATTCTACTCGTGGCAGTCACCATGGGTGTTTTGCGGCGAGATCAATCGCGCAATGCACCGACGAGCCTTGGCCAAGCGGCGAAAGAGCTCCCACAGCCCACGAAGATTGCTTTGGATCTCAAGGCGGCTCTCCCCGAGGCTGTGACACTCTCTTCGGAGGCAGACGCCTTCAATAAGATCACCGAGTCGTATTGGGCGAAGCAGAATCGGGAAGTGTTCCCCGCATGCTACGTTCAGCCTCGATCTGTTGAGCAGCTTCAAAAGGCCGTGAAGCTCCTAAAACAGGAGTACGTTGATACCAAGCATTCAAAGGGACAAGGAATTGACAAGGGATTGTTCGTCGTCAAAGGAGGCGGGGCTTCTCCAGCCCTCGGACTCAACAACCAAAACTCGAGTGTTGTGATCGACTTGGCTCATTTCCGAGACATCACTTATGCAGATGACAACTCCCATGTCACTGTTGGATGTGGCCTTAAGTGGAAGGACCTTTACGAGGAGTTGGAGCCAAAATCTCTTACCGTGGCTGGAGGGAGGACAGTCCCAGTTGGAGTCGCCGGCTTGACTCTGCAAGGTGGCATGTCCTTCTATTCTCCAGTACGCGGGTTCGTGTGCTCCACGGTCACGGAATACAACATTGTCCTTTCCGATGGAAGTGCAGTCGTAGCATCCGAGACGTCCTATCCAGATCTATGGAGGGCGCTAAAGGGCGGATCCAATAACTTTGGCATTGTTACTAATTTCACGATTCCATGCTTCCCTTCCGGCGACATGTGGTACGGGTGCAACTACACTTCTGGCTTCCAGGCTCCAAGCTTGGTCAAAGCATTTTACGACTATGTCAAAGCGGCCAGTTCAGGAAAGCCTGGGACTTTCGATGAGCATGCCACCATTCCCATTACCTGCTTCGGCTACACGCGCGATCTTGGTATTCATGCCACGGCAAATTATCTTGGATACACGGTCCCTCCCAAGGACAAGAAATGGCCTGCATATTGGAGAAAGTCTGCATTTGGATCTCTATGGAATTTATGGAGCACAGCCAAAGTGCAGAGTTTGCTCAGTGCAGTCGAGGAACAGTCGGCGCAATCGCCACCGGGAACTTATACTATATTCGCAGTGACCACCTTCAAGAATGACTTGGACACGTTGATGGCTGCTCATACAGCATATCGTGAAGCCTCAGCGGCGGGCAAACGAGTAGAGGGGATGGTCCTCTCTTTGGCTCTTCAGCCAATCCTACCTCAATGGTACAAGAATGGCCAGCCTAATGTCCTGGGGCTGGATGACTGCAATGATCCTCTCGTTGTTGCAGAAATTACGATCAAATGGGATAACACAGAACACATGGAACTAGTTCAAAGCATAGCGCGCCGGTTTGTTGAGCAAGTTGACAAAGACGCCGAGACGAATCGGACAGCTCATCCATTCCGATTCGCTAACTACTGTGCTGAGTGGCAAGACCCAATGAAGGGATACGGAGAAGAGAACCTCCAATTCATGCGTGCAGTCAGTCGAAAATATGACCCGGAGGGTGTGTTCCAACGGGCATGTATCGGTGGCTTCAAACTTGGCATGGACTATGACTGAAGGAGTAGTCTGCATCAGATTGTTAAAATCGGGTGACTAAATATTCCGGAAAATGAGACTCTCAGAGTCTCCCTTCCCTTGTGAGCAGTTGCTTCAAAGCTGAAATTATAGAAAAATAAAAGCTCATTTTACAACAAGACATAGCTTAGAGTATCTCTTAAAAAAAATTCAAAGATACAACAGCCAGAATCTTCCCGGCCCCGTATTCCAAGCCCATAGTTGAGAAGTAAGTGAAAAATAAGTACAATTGAATATCATGATCCGTTCCCGCTCTATGCCCTGAGTGTTCTATTTATCCGTAAAAGTTCAACGCAGCATCCTTCTCGCAGACTTCTCTTTCTCAAACCTTCCTATTCCCATTCGATACGAATCAGTGGGGTGGAATACACATCCAGTTCAACTCCATCCCATCTATCGACCTTGGAGTAGGTCAGATATACCTCGTTTCGAGATCCCGGCCTCAATGTTGGATGTGCTTGAAGAGAATAAGCCGGTAACGTAGCATTCCCATCCACACCTTTATACAAGAGCGTCGGCTGGGACCATGGTCCCTGGGGCTCTGCGGCAGTCGTGATGAAGAACTCGGCGGAGATGCTGATTCCAGCCTGTCCGATCCACACATAACGGTTCCAGGGCTCGTAGTAGTAATAGGTTCCCTGCCCACCTGCTCCAGCATTGACAAGATGAGCATTGCTATCGGTTATGGCAGGTTGCTTCGAAGTCCAAGAGCCCCCTACCCAGTACTGATACTTGGACTTGTCCTCAACAGAATCTGCAGCAACCTTAGCCAAGGCAATGGGCTTGCCATTATCATCCGCCTTGGCGTATAGGTATGCTACACCGTCATTGACCATATTGCCGTACGACCCATATGCGAATGAGCCTTCGGGCCAGAATTCCGGGTTGGCGATTGATACAGACGGCAGGGCCTTCGGGTCGGGGTTGAAGGGATCGTAGGTAATCTTATGTAGAGCCGTGGATGGGTTATCTTGTAGTAAAGCCAACCCTTCAAGCTTTTGATTCCTAATCCAAGTATAAGCCGTGATTTGGCCCTCAAACTGGCCCGCAGTCACCATCGGTGGGCTGTCTGGCCATAGAGCATAGCGAGTCTTGCCATCTAGGCAAGCGCCGGCAGTGTTTCCGTTGCACAGGTTACAGGCGCTGCATTGCTCATTCGTCATGGGGTAGAACGGCTCATGGTTGTCGCCGGTCATGCGTACGATATTGGTCTCCTCTACGTACGGGGTGCCGTCGAAATTGAAGGGCGTGAAGCCGGCAGTAGACGAGATAGTGCCACCCCCAGGGCGACCTTGCTCGTCGTTAACCTGAGTATCGCGACATGTCCAGAAATCTCGGGTTTGGAACCTGACGGAGCCACAGCTGTCTCGGTTGAGTGATGGATCAGACACAAGCCCCAGTACCTGTGGGGTACCCTTGATCGTCGGAGTGAAGGTATCGCGGGGGATTGAGTAGGCTGAGGCTGAACCGATGATAGCTGCTGTCAACAATCCCCGAGTGTTAATTGTCTGTGAATTGAACATTTTGCTGCTGGAGGTTCACGTCGGAACAACAAGATGAAGGAAAAGTGCAAGAAAAATGAAAATAAAAAAAAAATAAAAAAAAAAAATGAAAAAGAGGCAAAAAGATCAAAGTACAGAAGAAGAGAAGAAGTACCAAAAATGATTGAGTTGAAGGGAAAGATTACCAGTTGTCTCAGAAGTCTCACAACTTGAGAGTCAAGGGCGGATACTTATGCATGAATCGTTTCGCAAAAGCATACATGGCTATTTCAACAGGGCCAAGAATTATTAGTCTATCCCAGCTGTTTCAAGATCGCCAATTATGCTTCAGTTTATGAAATAATCCCAGGTGCCTGATGAAAAATGGATCTGCTTAGAAGAGCCACCAAGGGCACTCACCCTTGAATATCATCAGAATTCCTCGCGCATGTTCCCCCATACAACCTATGTAAAATAGCCAAGATCATATATGTACGTGTCACGGTCCTATTGACGCGCGGAACAAGAACTTTGTCCAAATAGCATGAATTTAAATCCGACAGACAGCTCAGGAACCGCGCATACTTCT